AACGGCGGAGCAGGCGGAGGATAACATGGCACATGTTACAACGGCTGCGAAGGCGGAAGAAGGCTGCAACAGACTGAGAAGCCACGGTCATTGTGTTAAACTACATCACCAGTGGAACCTCACTCTGTGAAGACTGTGTGTTGATCAGTTGTGCACTGACCTCCACACATTAAAAAAACCCACGCACAGGCGTCTTCCAAAGAAAATAAAAACAAACCAACTAAAGTCCCATGGCGATCAGCGAGTGGCGACGGGGGCAGGACTGTGAAATCTGGAAGCCCCTAGTCACAGACTGGCACATGGGCGGTGGTTACGGACTCAGTCATTCTACCTCAAGGTCCGAGGCAGTTGAGTAGTTCGGCAGCTGTATCCGCGACTGAGCAGCCCTATTGAGGACCCACTCTGCTCACCCCACATGGGGAGGGGGCTAGAAAAGGTGCCCTAAACATAGTCTGCCTCTCTCATCCCTGACTGGACTGCCGCGTCCAGTGGGGTCACCACCCTGCGGCCAAAAAAGAAATATGAACTTCGGTACATGGAATGTACGAACACTGATGGACAACAGTGACAGCAAACGTCCTGAACGCAGAACTGCCATCATTGCAAGGGAGCTGGGACGCTTTAACATCGACATAGCAGCCCTTCAAGAGACCCGGAGAGCAGGAGAGGGACAGCTGAAGGAAGAAAAAGGAGGCTACACTTTCTTCTGGAAGGGACTGCCTGAAGAAGACCAAAGACTGCACGGAGTTGGCTTTGCTATCAGGAATGATCTGGTGAAACATCTGACCGAAGCACCCACTGGCATCAACGAACGACTCTCAACCCTCCGAATTGATCTTGCCAAAAACCAACAGGCAACCATCATAAGTGCCTATGCACCAACACTAGATGCTGATGAAGACATCAAGGAGAAATTCTACTGTCAGCTGGACACCGTCCTATCGGGGTTACCTAAGGAGGACAAAATCATCCTCCTGGGGGACTTCAATGCAAGAGTCGGGCGAGACTTCGACCTGTGGCCAGGGACCATCGGAAAAGACGGGGTTGGAAACAGCAACTCAAATGGCATCCTGCTTCTCACCAAATGTGCGGAACACAACCTTGTCATCACCAACACGCTCTTCCGCCAGAAAAACAAGTTCAAGACATCATGGAAGCACCCCCGGTCAAAGCATTGGCACCTCTTAGGCTATGTAATCACACGTGCCAGAAACCGCTGTGAGGTGCTCCTCACAAGAGCCATGACAGGTGCTGACGACTGCTGGACTGACCACAGGCTAATTCGATCCTCGATGGCTCTCAAGATTGCCCCCAAGCGCAGACTCCAAGGAAGGAAGACAAGGCGCAAAATGAACACCCAAGCCCTTCAGGAGCCCTCCAGACGAGCCCATCTCCAAACAGCACTCAAGGACCATCTACCCACAGAACACCCCGAAAATGTTGAGGAACATTGGAACAAACTGAAGACCTCCATCATCACAGCCTGCGAAGAAACTATTGGATATCAAACCAAGAAACATCAAGATTGGTTTGACGAAAATGACATCGAGATCCAACAGCTAATTGACAAGAAAAGGAAAGCCTTCCAAACATGGCAGAGAGACGTCAACTGTGCTGCTAAGAAAAAGATCTACGCCAGTGCAAAAGCTGAAGTCCAAAGAAGGACAAGAGAACTCAAGAACATCTGGTGGACAAAGAAGGCTGAAGAAATCCAACACCTGGCAGATACTCATGATGCTCAGGGATTCTTCAAAGCCACAAAGGTCATCTATGGACCAAGAAACCATGGCATACAGCCTCTACGCTCATCAGATGGAACCAAACTCCTGAAGGACCAAAACTCAATTGCACTACGTTGGAAAGAACACTACCAAAGCCTCCTGAACCGCAGTTCCAATGTGGCCGAAGAGGTCCTCTCACAAATCCCGCAACAACAAACCAGGGACGAGCTTGCAGCACTGCCTAGTCTGGAAGAAGTCAGCAATGCCATCAGCCAACAAAAGAATAACAAAGCCAGCGGACCGGATGGGATCCCTGCTGAAATCTTTAAAGAGGGAGGACCCAAGCTGACACACCAACTCCACCAGCTCATAGAAAAAGTGTGGGTGACCGAGAAAATCCCAGCAGACTTCAAGGATGCCACCATCATCACCCTCTTCAAAAAAGGGGAAAGAACAGACTGCTGAAACTATCGAGGTATCTCCCTTCTAACCTCGCTGGGAAAATCCTCGCAAGAATCCTTGCAAACCGCCTTCTGCCCCTCTCAGAAGACACCCTCCCAGAATCCCAGAACGGCTTCCGCCCCTCCAGAGGAACCGTGGACATGATCTTCACTGCACGACAGCTCCAAGAAAAATGCAGGGAACAAAATCAACCTCTGTACATGGCATTCATTGACCTTGCAAAGGCATTCGACACAGTGAATCGCAGTGCTCTCTGGACCATCCTCCAATATCGGGTGCCCGAACAAATTTGTGAACATCCTGCGGCTCCTCCATGATGACATGATGGCAACAGTCTTGGACAGCGATAGCTCCCAAAGTGACCCATTTAAGGTGGAATCAGGTGTCAAACAGGGATGTGTTATTGCCCCAACTTTATTCTCCATCTTCATCGCTATGATACTTCACCTTGTTGATGGGAAGCTTCCCACCGGAGTGGAAATCATCTATCGGACAGATGGCAAGCTATTCAACCTCAGCAGACTGAAAGCCAAAACCAAGGTTACAACAACATCTGTTATAGAACTCCAGTATGCTGATGACAACATGGTCTGTGCGCATTCAGAAGAAGATCTACAAGCCACTCTAAACACCTTTGCAGAAGCATACGAGAAGCTCGGCTTGTCATTGAACATTGAAAAAACCAAGGTGCTTTTCCAGCAGACACCAGCCAACCCCTCTCCAATGCCAGAGATACAGCTTAATGGTGTAGCATTAGAAAATGTTGATCATTTCCGCTACCTTGGCAGCCACCTCTCCACCAAAGTCAACATCGACGCCGAAATACAACACCGCCTGAGCTCTGCAAGCGCAGCATTTTTCCGAATGAAGCAGAGAGTGTTTGAGGACCGGGACATCCGTAGGGATACCAAGGTGCTTGTTTATAAAGCTATTGTCCTCCCAACCCTGCTCTATGCCTGTGGGACGTGGACTGTCTACAGACGTCACATGCAACTCCTGGAACGATTCCATCAGCGCTGCCTCCGGAAAATCCTGCAAATCTCTTGGGAAGACAAGCGGACAAACGTCAGCGTGCTGGAAGAAGCAAAGACCACCAGCATTGAAGCGATGGTCCTTCGCCACCAACTCCGCTGGACCGGCCATGTTGTCCGGATGCCCGACCACCGTCTCCCAAAGCAGTTGCTCTACTCCGAACTCAAGAACGGAAAACGGAATGTTGGAGGACAGGAAAAGAGATTTAAAGATGGGCTCAAAGCCAACCTTAAAAACTCTGGCATAGACACTGAGAACTGGGAAGCCCTGGCCCTTGACCGCTCCAGCTGGAGGTCAGCTGGGACCAGCAGTGCTGCAGAATTTGAGGAGGCACGAGTGGAGGGTGAAAAAGAGAAACGTGCCAAGAGGAAGGCGCGTCAAGCCAACCCCGGCCGAGACCGCCTTCCACCTGGAAACCAATGCCCTCACTGCGGAAGAAGATGCAGAGCAAGAATAGGGCTCCACAGCCACATACGGACCCACAAGAATATTGGAAGACAATCATCCTCGGAAAGCGAGGGATCGCCTAAGTGATTCTGCTTTCTCCAAGTATTGGGATGGAAGACAAATTTCAGCACAATTAGAACACACCGCTTAGTCCCACATAGAAATTATTGTATACCAGCCTGTTCAGCCTGTGATTGTGTCTGATGTTCATGGTAATGCTGATATTCATGTTGGGAATGGGGATGATGTTGGCTTTTGGGGATGAGATGTTGACTTTGGGGATGAGAGTTTGCTCGGTCTTGAATTAACCTCAGATGAGAGGCCTGAGCTGTTTCAGAAAGAGGAAGATTTACAAGGCCGCATGCTTGAGAAGAGCCCTTCACAGCCTTTCCCAGAACAACAGTCTGAAGATGATTTGTCTGGTGCAAAAAATAATGAGAGCCCAGAGAGAGCTGATAATGAGAGCTTAGACAGAAAGCAAAGTTGCTGTAAACAGAAAAACAGTCTTCAAAGACACAGACAGTCCATTCACTTTCTGCAAAAGAAAGATAACAAACTGCTAACTGGTAGCAAGGTCAAGAGAAACATTTTCTTTTCAATTTTGAAACGTGGAAAAGCCTTATATCGATGCATGGGAAAGAGTTGCCTCATTTGGGTCAACGTTGGAAATTTATCATGTTCTTGTTTTCAAGTGCTCTTAGTTTCATGTACCAAATTCTTGCCAAGCTCCAGTTTTGTTTTTGAGATTTTTTTCCCCTGCTGCCTAGTTTCATGTGCCTAGTTTCAAGGATTTTTATGTACTTTTGGGTGTTTCCCTTTGAGGTTTATGGATTATTTACTTGTATTGGACCTTTACAGTTTTTGCTGTTTTTTACTGCTTTGCCTACACATATTTTTCAATAAACCACTTGCTTATTTTACCAAGCTGGTGTGGTGTTTAAGGTCAGAGGTGTTCCTGCTCTGGTGTACGACAGAAATAGCCTAGATCAGTCAGCCTGAGTTTTAAATTTTTTGAGAGAAGATGTTTCTCAGTCCCATTACCACCACATGTTACATTTAGTGGGGGCACATGAGAGAGCTTTCTCAGTGGCTGCTCTCAGGTTGTGGAATCCTCTCCTTGGGAGGTTGAGTTGGCCTCCTTTCTTGTCTCTTTCTTCCAGTAAGCAAAAACCTTTTTTATTTAGGCAGGCATTTGGTCCAGCTGGAGCATGTGAGTACGCATTAGCACTTTGCCCCAACTGCTGTCTATTTCATGTGGATCATACTATGTGGTTTATTGTATCACTGATGTGATAAACCACAAAATGCCATGTGATAATTATTTCCTTTCACACCTACCTGCTTGTGAGCATGATCGTAGGAATTGATATGGTTGTCAAACTCATGGTGTTTGTGGTACTGCTTGTCACATAGTTCACAGTAGAAGTTAGCCTTCACATCTTCCAGAGCTCTTGCTGCTGCTTTTTCCTTTTCAGCAAAATCCTGCAAAGACAGAGGTAGAAGTCTTGGTTACTGATGACTGCCAATATCCTATACTTAGTTATGAATGTGAAACTAAGGGCACATCTACAGTGTAGAAGTAATGCAGTTTGATATCACTTTAACTTCCATGGTTCAATGTTATGGGATCATAAGAGTTATAGTTTTACAAGGCCCTTAGCCTTCTCTGCCAAAAGGCGCTGGTGGTTCACCAAAACTACAAATCCCAGGATTCCATAGAATTGAGCCATGGTAATTAGTTGGTGAAGAACTGCATTAATTCTACACCAGGAACCATTGTGTTTCCTCTTCTCTGATATGTAGGTCAACAGACCTGCTTAACTCAATGTGGATACTGCTCACTCTTACGGTGGGATTGTAAGCTAGATAATAGTGCAACAACTTTCAGTGTTCAGAGCTACTAAAAATGAAGCAATTATGAAAACGTGCCTGCAATACAAAAAGCCAGCCTTTATTGTTCACTTTTTCCCCACAATGATCTATTGTGGCTGGGGCCATCATTAACCAGGCTGTGGTGGCCATTCAAATTTACTAGTTGACCAGGAGGGCCTTTCCACGATTTAAACTTGTGTGTCAACTGCGCCCATTCCTTGAGAAGCAGATCTGGCCATGGTGGTACATGCCTTACTTACATCCTGTCTGGACTACTGAATGCACTCCAAGTGGGGCTGGCTCTGAAGAGTGCTTGGAAACTCTAGCTGGTCCAAAGAGCTCACTGGGGCTGGCTTCAGGGAATGTCTGCCAGTCTGTTTCTGGGCACAAATCAAAGTGCTGGTTATAACCTTTAAAGCCCTGGATGGTTCAGGTCCAGGCTACTTGGCCGACCAGATACCCTTGTATGAACCTGCCCGGGCCTTGAGATTTTCAGGAGAGGTCCTTCTCTTTGTCCCACCTCCATAACAAGCCCAGTTAGTGGGAACTAGAGAGGGGGCCTTCTCGGTGGCTGCCCTGCAAGTATGGAAACTTGTCCAGGGAAGCCAGAATGGCCACTCCCTCTGAATTTGTTTTAATGGTTTTTAACTGGGAATTGTTTAATACTGTTTATATTTAAGCCTGTTTTAATGTTTGTATATTTGTATATTTTAAATTGTTATGCTGATGCTTTTATGTTAAGCTGTTTTGAGTCCCTTTTGGGGGAGATAAAGCGGAGTATAAATAATAATAATAATAATAATAATAATAATAATTATTATTATTATTATTATTATTATTATTATTATTATTATATAATCACAATCTGTCAACTGCAAAAGGCCACCTTACTTGGATCTGCGCGCATCATTCAAAAATACATCACACAGTCCTAGACGTTTGGGAAGTGTTTGACTTGTGATTTTGTGATACTAAATCCAGCATGTAGATCTCGTTTGCTGTGACATACTGTGCTTTTGTGTCAGTAAAATAATAATAATAATAATAATAATAATAATAATAATAATAATAAGTAAAGGAAAGCAAAGAACCTGCTTTGATTGAAGCCAATAATTGGAAACTTCTCAAAGCACAGCAGACAAAGTGTCAGTACAAGAAAACTGCACAACAAACCAGAGCTGACAGCTGGCACAACAAAACATTGCATGGGTAGTTCCTTGACAAAATTGAAGGAAAAGTTGACAAGGAGAAGACCTGGTTATGGCTCACTAATGGAACACTGAAGAAGGAGGCAGAAAGCCTGATTCTTGCAGCCCAGGAGCAAGCCATCAGAACAAATGCAATGAAGGCTGGGATCAAAAAATCAGCTGATGACCCAAAATGCAGACTGTGCAAGGAAGCTGATGAAACCATTGATCATATCCCCAGCTGCTGCAAGAAAATCGCACAGACGGAGTACAAACAGAGGCACAACACTGTGGCCCAAATGATTTATTGGAACTTGTGTCACAAGTACCACCTGCCAGTAGTAAATAACTGGTGGGATCATAAACCTGTAAAGGTAGTGGAAAATGAACACACACAAATACTCTGGGACTTTTGAATCCAAACTGATAAGGTTTTGGAACACAAGACATCACGATTGTGGGAAAGAAAAAAGTTTGGATTATTGATGTTGCCATATCAGGTGACAGTCGCATTGACGAAAAACAACAAGAAAATCTCAGCCACTATGAAGACCTCAAAATTGAACTGCAAAGGCTCTGGCATAAACCAGTACAGGTGGTCTCAGTGGTAATTGGTACACTGGGTGCGGTGCCAAAAGATCTCAGCTGGCATTTGGAAATAATAAACATTGACAAAATCACAGTCTGTCAACTACAAAAGGCCACCTTACTTGGACCTGCACACATCATTCTAAGATATATCACACAGTCCTAAATGCTTGGGAAGTGTTCGACTTGCAACTTTGTGATACGAAATCCAGCATGTATATCTCATTTGCTGTGTCATACTAAGTTTTTGTGTCAGTAAAATAATAATAATGATGACTGTAACATTCACACTTGCTTTAAACAGATAAGTGTTCTTTCTCCCACCCTGGACATTCCACAGGTATATGTGGAATATCTTTACTGCCAACAGAACCTCTGAAGATGCCAGCCACAGATGCAGGTGAAACGTCAAGAGAGAATGATGCCGGAACATGGCCATACATCCTGGAAAACTCACAACAATCCATTTGTTAAAAAATACTGTATAAAATCACACTCGGTCTATGTACATAAGGTATATACAAACTTAAATGAAGTTCAGATTTATACTTGGGGCCTGATATTGATATCTCAAAATCCAAATCCCAAAAATGCTTCTGGTCGCAAACATTTGGGAAAAGGGATACTCAACCTGTATTTTTATTCCCAGAGAGAAGCTGCAGTAAGACTTTATGTCCAGTTTTGGCTACAAAGCACATACAAAGTTATGAAAGAGTGGTGTCATTTTGCCAGAGGCATTGAAGTATTTTGAGTCAGCCCCAGTCTTCAATGAAAAACACTGAAACAGCCAAGCCTCAAGGTAGATGGATGACTCACTGCCTTGAAAATGCACTGAAAATTCACTTCAGGTAGGTTTTCAATCCTAAGCAGCTAATGCAAGCTTTTACTGGACACGAATCTTTGCTGGCAGATTAAAGAAACATTTACCCTCTAGACTAATTACTCTTCGAGCTGTACTTAAATACTGCACTTGTCAATGCAAAAGTACAAGAACACAGAAAGAGAAACATTATAATGACAGGATGTTACAGTGCAACGATTATGGCCTCTAATCCCCTTATCAGCACGCCATACAGTTAAGAGCAGTAAAATGAATGCGGGTGAACATGCTGAGGGGAATAAGCCAACCCTCCCAGGAATAAGAGGTAGCAGCTTTGCTAGTCCTGCCAATGAGCATTTTACTTTTCATCCTTTTCAGCAACCATATAATAAAAGTTTATTTGTAAATACACACACAAATAGATACGAAGCTGGCAGGAGTGCTGACCAAAAGGTCGGCGGTTCAGATCCGTGGAGCAAGGTGAGCTCCTGTCTTTCAGCTCCAGCTCATGCAGGAACATGAGAGAAGCTTCCCACAGGATGGTAAAACATCTAGGCATTCCCTGGACAATGTCCTTGCAGACGGCCAATTCTCTCACAACAGAAGCGGCTTGCAATTTCTCAAGTTGCTTCTGGCATGAAAAAAAAAGCTGAAGCAAGAACTATGAAGGCTCACAAGGTACAAAATAAAGACATTTGATTCTGGTTGTGGCAGCAACACTACAACAACACTGCTAGGACAATTTATAGCTGGCTCTCTATATCCGCAGATTCTGCACCCACTAATTCAACTATCCATGTCTTGAAAATATTTTTAAAAATTAAACCACCAAACCTTGATTTTGCCATTTAATTGCATGAATCCAAGCATTACAATACAGTTGATCTTTTGTATCCATGGATTCCACCATCCACGACTTAAAAAGTTAACAAAAATACAAAAAGAAAACCTTGATTTTGCTATTTTGTATGAAGGACATGATCTTACTATAGCATTGTATATACTGTAATGGGACTTGAGCCTCCGTGGAATTTGCTATCCACCTCCCAAAAGTTTAGTAATATTTGTCAAAACTTGGGAATATTATTATTTTTTGAACTGCTGTTCCTAGAATATCAATCAAACATAGCTTTAGCTACAATGGCTGGGTGTTTCTGAGAGTTGTATGCTCTGTCCAAAGCAAGCCAACTTGCTTTGTCCTCTGTTGTTGGAATGTACAATCTATCCATTAATAGCAACAGCATCACATTATAATTTGGCTTATATTTATTGGTTCATGTCCATCCTGTGATTGATTGGAGACACTGGTTTGGCAACTTTGCATATCACCTGAGTCCAATGAAAAAGAAAAAAAATAGAATGCTATCTCCACATATTGACAACACTCAAGAACTGTTAATGACTTTAATATCTATACATCCATCTATACATCCATCTATCAATCCCAGTATCTGTAAGGCTATCACTCAAGGCTGAGCATAATTGCCTTCCAAGTGTAGGGTCTTGCCAGTGGTTCCATAGGTGACTGTAGAGAACTATTCTTGACCCGCATGTTCTTTTGCAGTGAGAATATCGATTTCCAGATGGAAAGTGGTCCTGGTCAGGGTTGGCTTGATGGCCTCCTCTTCACACATTTCTCCCTTTTGCCCTCCATTTGTGCCTCTTCAAATTCTACAGCACTGCTAGTAACAGCTGACTTCCAGTTAGAATGCTCGAGGGCCAGAGCTTCCCAGTTCTCGGTGTCTATGCCATGGTTTTTAAGGTAGCTTTAAGCCTATATTTAAATCTCTTTTCCTGTCTACCAGCATTCAGTTTTCCATTCTTTAGTTGAGAGTATAATAACTGCTTTAGGAGATGGTGATCGAGCATTCAGACAACGTGGCTGGTCCAATGAAGTTGATGGCGAAGGAGCATCACTTCAATGCTGGTGATCTTTGCTTTTTCCAGCACACTGACATTTGTCTGCCTGTCTTCCCAAGAGATTTGCAGTATTTTTTGGTGGCAATGCTGATGGA